TTGAATTTGCTGTGTACTGCTCATTATTTGATTCGTTTTGAAGCATTTAAAAAAATGCAAACTCAAACTAATGTGTTGCATTTGTTTACCTTCCCCTCTCCTTCATTAGACTGCAGTAAATACTTAAAGCATGGGGCGAGTGTGTACCGGGAAGGATTTTGAAACAGGACTATGAAAGAAAGGTTCTGTGTTTCACGCATGGTGCAAATACTGCGTGAAAGCTAAAATAATTGATAGCTGAACAGATGCAGGACTCTCTGGCTGCCAGCAGAGATCAGGAGTGTGAGAGCGTGCAGGATCGCCCCGGGTCAGCCACTGCATCGCTGCACAGTGAATAGTATTTCCTGAGTCCTGCGTCAGTGAGCGCTGAGACACCAATGAATCTGCAACATGACTCCCTGGGAGCTGTGATCATGACGTTCGCTCTCCTACGACTGCAAATGTGATGCAGCGGTGCAGAATAAGTCACCTGTGAAATGTAATATCCCCACAGCTCTGCCCTCGCTCCACTTTTATCCACCTTCTTACTCTGCTGTCCTACAGCAGGGGTCTGATCTGGGTTTCACTTAGGTGCACCTTGCCCTCCTGTTGTATGTCGGTAGGCTACACAACAATCTGAAATGTCTAAGCTGAAGCTGTGGCAGGGCTGTTGTGGGTTTGGGCCCTGCGACACGTCTGAGGAGAAGTCGCAGCTCGTGAAATAAAAGCAGAGCGTTCAGAAGCATCGACGCTGCTCGAGTTAGTTTCATCAGCCACATGTGCGCTCGCTGCACAGCGACTCCAGCTCCGCCCGAGCTCTGCTGAAGTGGAAGAGCAGTGATGTCACTTCCACTCAGTGAGCACGGCGAGCGGTGATGCTCACTGCCTTTTACAGTGCATTCTGGGAATTTTCTATGGAGCTGTCGTGCAGTGGAGTGATAGTGTCATCGGGGCACTCGCTTCACCATCGAGGGACCAAACAGTCGTGTTTCCTGCAGATGGCTGTGCTGCTTTTATCCTCGTGGAGCGTTAAACCTTCCAAAAAAATCCTCCAACAGACAAATGGAGCTGGTTCCTTCACTAAACTGCGTCCTTAGGAAAAGAGGAAGGATCCTGCTGAGTCATGCAAACTCCCCTGTGGGGTCTCCAGCTGTTATCCCAGCAGATCAGCTGATCTGAGTGCTCAGCTGAACAACTTGATCTGATGTCGTCGTGTTGGTGTTGTTCCTGGATCATCATCACTGATGTTGGTCCAGGTTAAAGTGACCAATCACACTGTAGTGATGCCATAGTTCTGGGACATGGAAACACAGTCACACCCTAACCACCCTCTTTGTTAGATTTTCTTTCCTGAGTGGACATCTGCAGGTGATTGGTCAGATCCAATGTTGGTGCATAAACAACACTGACACAAGGATATCAGATTGACCAAACTGCTTTAGCCTCTCCAAAGCTGCTGCACACCTACCTGCAAGCCACTTTGCAACCCACGTCCACCCCAGCTCCTTCTTTTATATTGCCTGATGCGGTCGTTGTTGGTGTTGATACCCAACCCAAGAAATATGGTTGTTGATAATGAATTAGTTATCTTATATATTTTTATCGCTGCTGTGATCAGATGTCTCTGGAAGATTAACGATGTCACATAAGAGTTTGTGAGTCACAGAGTAAAGGATGTGATGGTTTGACTTGATGAATTTGCCCATTCTTTTCACCGTTCCTTCAAAGACCATTTTTCATTTACTTTTACTTCTTTCATCTCTAGGTAGGCTGGCTGGAGCCCAGTCGAGTGTGGCGCCATCTGTTTAAAGGTGCACTTTAGCTGTAGACATGGAAATAAAACAGGGCCTAAAATTGAGCCTTGTGGGATTCCTTACAGGAACTTGATTTACATCCATCTGTACAAACACACTGAACCAAGCTGTGGCCCCTGTAGTCACTCCAACTATCATCTCTGAGTCTTCACAGCAGCAAACAGGGCAACGCTACTTCCTGTCCAAAGCATTAAAAATATAACTTGTTGCTGCTGCTGTTTTTGCGCTTCGACTGAGCTGTAAGAAAGGAGTCGCCTCGAGGACCCTTCAAGGCTGAAGCAGTCACATTGCTGCACGCTCATGCCTGCGTATACTGATGGGAGTAACGAGGCGTCAGCCGCCTATAAGGTGTGCCTGTGCATGAACACGTGTTCACTGACATGTTTGCATCAGGCTATCCTCCAGCACAGCTGATGCACAGGTCTATAATTGATTACAGGCCTCTGTCTCATCTGTGTACACCTCAAGCCTTTCAGTCAGGATAAAAATATGACGGGTTCAGTGATTGGTTATACGAATCAGGTTCCAGGACTTCTGTGAAATGACACGTAGCCCAATTTATATCCGCCCTGTGAGAACATGTTCAGGGAACTTGTCCTGTTCAGACAACACGAGCATGCATATCTGTGTGTCAGGGGAAATGCAACAATATGCAGGGCCTCCTTTGTCATGCTTTTCATTCCCTAACACGTCAGTGTGTGAAACGTCTGCGCTGCAGGCCAGTTTAGACTCTATAGACTCACTCGCTGTTGGATTTGAGTCTCTCGCTGAAAAAAGATTCCATCAGCTGCCTTCAGAGCATCAGAGCTTTGATGGGGCTTCGTGGACGTGGACTAACGTCTTCCTTGTTATCTTTGACCTGATAACAAGCTGGATGTTCGCCTCCTCATCAGTCTGGAGAACGCGGTATCCTTGATTTCCAGTCAGTCAGGCCACAGGATGGTTTCCATGTGGTCACGAGGGACAACTGTATAGTTTCTCCTCCTGTTCTCGTGTAAATGATCTCTGTGGTTATTTATTTTTACGTTTCTGACAGTCGCATGTGCTTCTCTATGTGTGACTTAGTCGTGTTATGTTGTGTGTCTGCAGGACTACCGAGTGAACATCTTCCTCCGTCAGCAGTGGAACGATCCCAGGCTGGCGTATTCCGAATACCCCGATGACTCTCTGGACCTGGATCCCTCTATGTTAGACTCCATATGGAAACCGGATCTGTTCTTCGCCAACGAGAAGGGAGCCCACTTCCACGAAGTCACCACAGACAACAAACTGCTCAGGATATTCAAGAATGGCAATGTTTTGTACTCTATAAGGTGAGCAGCAGCACGGTTAAGAAAAACCTTCGTGACACATGGAGTCATGTCACTCTGACTTCTGTTTATTTCCTGTAATTTGAAGGTACAAGCTCCTTTATGCGTGAAACCAAGGATCCGTGTGCAGTGTATATACATGCATGCATGCTTTCATAGCCAGAGGCACGCAGCGAACTCTGAGATACCGAGGAAGACGCATCTGCAGAATGAATATATGCACGTCTGCAGTCGTGTCTATTTAATCAGGTCACTGATATAAAAATGTTTAGAATATCTTCCTGTTGTTGGGTTTAAGTCCATCGCCTCAGACTTCATGGTGCTAAATGTAAGTCTTTGATATGTGAAAGTAAAGTGCTTTACAGGTTAGTTAATGAACAGGTCCAAACTTTGGAGCAGTTTTAGGCTGAGCTTCAGAAATGTTCTGATTTGAGCTCGCTGCTGCCTCGCCACATGTCCTCTGGCCTCACACTGTTTTCTCACTGCTAGCTCGTCGCGTTTAAACACTGGACCGCATTTATTCATTTGACTAATCTGACTTGCAAATGTTATAATATGAGCTCCGATTAAACATTTATTCTTCATTTTTGGGTTTAGTGGAACTTTTTACGTCCATCGTGAGTCAAAGACAGAAGGTCTTCATGTGCCGGCTTTAGGATTTAAACATTAGATGCTGACAGTGGTTCTGTAAGTTTGTCAGAGTGGGATCTCGTTTCTGAATATTTTGATGTATAAAGTCTGATATTATCGGGTATCCTCTTGGTTCCAACAGTGCAGGTGGCACATTGATATAAACTGACATGTTACGATGTCTGTGACTTTGAACCCACGGTCTCGGTCTTCAGTGTCTCCTCTCTTTCTTTTCAGGCTAACGTTAACTCTGTCGTGTCCCATGGACCTAAAAAACTTCCCGATGGATGTTCAGACGTGCATCATGCAGCTGGAGAGCTGTAAGTACTGCATGACTGTACACACTCGCAGCTCTTTCAGTATGAACGATGTACAGTGTGTCTTTAACCCTTTAAACCCTAACCTGTCGCCGGTAACTCCAGGCCTCGAGGGCCGGTGTCCTGCAGGTTTTAGATCTCACCCTGGGTCTTCACACCTGAATCACATGATTAGTTCATTCCCAGGCCTCTGGAGAACTTCAAGACATGTTGAGGAGTCATTTAGCCGTTTAAATCAGCTGTGATGGATCAAGGACACATCTAAAACCTGCAGGATACCGGCCCTCGAGGCCTGGAGTTGGACACCCCTGGGTTAAAGGGTTAAGAAACACCTTTCATTCGGGCTGTGAGCCATTGAGCTCTGTTCTTAATTACAAAGAAGCTCTTTTCAGCTCCAGATTTTTGGTTTGGCAGCGTTTTTACATCTGATGCGATTAGTGTCACTACCTGGAATCAAACCGGTGCCTTTAGCTTGCCGGGTAAATGTGCTAACCACTACACCACCAACAATTAGAAGGGCAGTTAAATATCCACCGTCAATGCAAAACTGCAGGAGATGCAATGTTATGGTCAAGGTGCAGAGAAGGATGCATCATCGAGGAGCTGCGACTCGGTCACATGTGAACATTTAAAATTTATGGTCACAACACGACAGGGCAGCTGGTGATGGGGCGGGGTCTTTGACTCCAAGTCAAGCTCGTTGTTGCAGCTGTGCCCCGCGACTCCTTCAGGCACACCTGGGAAAACAGAGTCCTCGTCTTCACATCAGCAGCCAAACTGCAGCTGACAAGCCGTGTCGTTTTGCCACACGTGTGTTCATACGTACGCGGAGATGCTTCTTCTTCAGCTGCCTGCATCTCTCTCTCTATCCCAGCATCCTCCTGTGTCACACCAACCCTCACACGTCCACAGAACAAACTCTGAACTCGCCTGCGATGCATTTTGAAGGTTTCCTCGGTGGGAGATGAATCCCTACACGAATACAGGAAAACACTAACAGATCGCTTTTTTGGTGCCAGAATGCAGCTGACATTTAAAGAGCCTGTTTGCTCCATGGATGAACAAGTTCCCCCTGCCATGTGGACTACTGCACCCCTCCCTCTTTACCATCGGGGGGACCATCTTTGAACTGACAGTAAGCCAGATGGTTCCTCATCCTCAGTCCAGAGGACACAGCGTCCGTGATGGGATGGGTTTCTACTTGGTCACAGTCCACCTTAAATGGACCATGAGCCAAAATGCAGCTGACATTTAAAGAGCCATTTGGGGAGCTGTTAGCAGGGTCTGCTCTCCTGTCGGCCGTCGCCTTGATTCTGAAGCAGACGTGTGCTGCGGCTGGATCAGCTAAACTTTCTGACCAGCTGATGGGAGATGCTTCAGAGGCTGCGGCTCTGGGCCGCTGTGAATTTGCAGAGATAGACAGGAGCTAATTACAGCGGCAGTCATTCCCAGCGAGGCTCAGAATGAGATTAAAACTCTGATCCGTGTAGATAATGTTTAAATCCCCCCCTCACAGACAGATAAAAGCAGCCCGAGTGTGGATTAAGACTTCTGTCATGGAGAGGGAAGTTCCTCGGGTTAAAGCTGTGTGCTTAAACATACAGCAGCCCCCCGCCCACCGCCGCCTGTCGTGTTTCTGCTCCGCGTGAACATGTATATTCCATATCCCAGCGATACGTCTCCTCCGATCCGTCTCCGCGCCCACAGAGGCTCGGTGCGTGACTCTGAATATGTAGCATGCTGCTTCTGTTCAGACGTGTGCTGCCTGCACACGCAGGAAGTCCGTGCTGCAAACAATACCATGATTTCAGAATCTGTTGATGTCGTGCGGATGATGCTCCAGAAAGCTGGATGAAGAAGAGATTCATTCATCCATCCTGAAGTATATTTAGTCTCCCTCCATGGGAACATATTTTAGCAGCATATCTTTTTAAGGAAGCAGTCGTGTTTAATGATGTTGATACAGTTATGATGACGAATCCATCGTCTGCCCAATCAGAGGCCTGGCCTCAGGGACACAGCCCTCGAAGAGCTTATTCATCTTCACTGGTAGTTCCAGTCCTCTCTGACCCACATACACACACATAGAAACACACACACACTGAGAGGTAAGCACACACAGACACGCACAGATTATTTGCATTGCTGCTCCCTGATGTCAGAGGAACCATAAGGACGCATCAGGACATACTGGCATGCAGAGGAAATGAGTCGTGACGTGAAAAGTCCTCGGTCCAGGTTTATGTCTCGTTCCGTGAAACATAATTGGAGGCTGTGGTTGCAGCCTGACCCTGTTCAGGTCGCGTCCGGGACCAGCCGAGCTCGTAAGTGCAGCGAGTCGACAGTCACGGCCGCCGCTGCCACCGGAGGCCGTCGTAAGATTTAAAAGCATCCCGAGCCGAGCACAGATGCTCGTGTGGAAGGCTGCAGGCGCGCTCTCCTCTGTTTTTCTCTTTTTTAACATGCAAACACTTTTCACGCACTTTCAGCCGAAGCTTAAGAAGCAGGATGAACTCATTCTTTCTGTGCATGGCTGCAGGCTTGCACCAGCACATACCAGCTGCTTCCTGCGCTCGCCGAAGAGCCCCGCAGCGCTCCGACCGCACGCATTCATACGTGGCTTCCGCTCTCCCTCTGCCTTCACCCGGACACAGAAGAAGAGGGGCCACTGAAAGCTGGATATAAGACGCATGTGTGAAAACAAGAATAATATCACGGCATCTGTTTGCATTAACATCAAGCCTCCTGCATCATCCAGCCATCTCTGGCCCGTCCTCGGGCACGTTGCAGTGCCTCTCTGATGTGTGTGGTGATATCTGTGCTGGTGGTGCGTTTGGCCGTGAGCTCTGTCTAAAAACATCCAGTGTCCTGTGTGCTGAGGACGGGACGCACCAATGAGATGCACGAGTCCTAAAGATGGAAAAACTAAAGAAGCTAAACAGAGCCGGAAATCAGGGCTGACACAAAAACAGGCTGCAGCGATCTGCAAACGTCGTCCTCGAACATCAGTCTGAGAGCGTCTGCGAGCTGCGGAGAGCAGCTGCTGGACTTTCACAGCTCAGCAGTCCTCGCTCTGCTTCCTCCTTTTTTTGGTATCCAGATGTGCCAGCTGTGAGTCCCACAGGCACGCCCCCGAAACATCAGAGCTGCAGGCGTTGACCTGAGCGCTGATAATGAGCTGGATGCTCTCCTCTTCAGTCCGAGGATGCGGCGTCCATGTTTGGATGAGTCTGACCTCAGATCAGTTTTAAAGGAGCTTTGGTCCAGAGGAGATGGCGCCGGTCACATCTGGCTTCTTCTCTGCGCACAGAGATTCCTCCACATGATGACGATGAGATGTTCACAGTGAGGAGCATCGTTCTGAAAACCAGTTTGTGGATGCAGTTTCCTCTGAGAACTTCTGGCCCTCTGAGACGCTCTTTTTATACCCGATCATGTGACTGACCTGCTGACAGCCTGATTAGCAGCTCAGTGTTCCTCCAGCTTTTTCTTTCTCGTCCGAACTACTTTTCCAGCTTCTTGTTGCAGCCCTGCAGATCTTTTAGAGACGTGTTGCTGCCCCCAAACTCAAAATGAGCTCATAGTTTTTTCACTTTAAACATTTGATGTTTTTTTTATGTTGGGTTGTGAAAAAATCTGAGATTTACGAATCATTGTGCTCGTGTAAATGAGGCATGTTGTACAGAGCAAGAAAACACAGCAGACAAGACACGAGAGAAAAGTACCCTTCAAAATAAAACAGGAAATAACCAAAAACACAGTGATGCTGAAACACAGAGACCGAGGACCACCGAGGAAACGATGCCGACACAGAGATGCACATTTAAAAACAATAAAAACATTAAAAACACTGAAGCTGCATAAATGGAGACCCTGGGTGTGTTCAGCATCCGTCGTAGTGCGGGCCCCACGAGGAAGGAAAACATGTCTGCTGCCCTGAAACACCGACAGTCCGCAGACACAAGAGTGCGAACACAAGTCGACACAATCTGAACAAAAGATGGTCAAACTACACACAGACTTGTGCTCTGTGGCCTTTTTTAAATCTATTGTCTCTCATAATTTCTGTGTTTCAGTCGGCTACACCATGAACGACCTGATCTTTGAGTGGCAGGAGAACGGACCTGTTCAAGTGGCCGACGGCCTCACGCTCCCACAGTTCATCCTCAAAGATGAATCAGACCTCCGATACTGCACCAAGCACTACAACACAGGTAACACACACACTGCCGTAAGCATCAGGATGCAGGTAAGATACACACAGGATGAAACGGTTGCCACGTTTCATCCGTCACGTTTGTGCTCCAAGGATCGAGTCGAAAAACAA